GTTTGGGCTGCGAGAAAAGTCTGGAAAAAATATTATTTTATTTGGTTACTTAAAAAAATTAAGAGGAAAAGAAAAAATTGTCTGTTGTATTTAAAATTTTTTTTAATTTATCTAAATAAAGAGAGAGAAGGGGAAAAAATGGGAAATGAAAGGATGCAACGTCCTTCCTTTCCCTCCCCCCTATTTTTCTCACATCAAACCTTCTGCAAGGCAAATGAGAGGAAACTTAAAAAAAAGAAAAAGAAAAAGAAAAAAACAACACATCTAATTATATGAAGATTCTTGCCTAATACACTCATGTTGTTGTGAACATTGTTTCTCCTATATTTTTTTTTCCAGCAAATATAAACAGATTAGGAAGAGTAACACACCACCCCCCAAAAAAAAAAAAGAGAGTAAAAACAGATAGGTGAGTGCTCCAATTCCAGCCGATGAAATTAAGCAGGAACTTATGGCAGAATGCAAGTGTGTTGGAAGAATGTCAGAAGTTTGTAACTTCCTCCATAAACCATATATGGTCTGATTATCGATAAGTTAAAAGGGAGGATGGATGGATGGATCATGCCTTCCGTCAGATTAAGTACATATGTAAGAGGTTTTTCTCCTTTTTCTTAAAAAAAAAAAAAAAGTATTTCCTCAGTAAACCAAAGGAAATCAGAAATGAGAAGACATGCTGAACAAGTGTGATTATCAGAACAAGGATGATTCATAGAATTTAGGCAAAAGTGTGAATTAGTAATGTACAAATGGGTCAGGAGATCATTGAAGCCTAAAACACATGGAGGAGAACCTCAAAGTGGCAGGACTCAGAATCCATGTAAAAGGAGTGACAACTCACGAGCCCATCAATGTTCTTCTAACCCTGTCTACAATCTGATTTCTGGCAGCCATATTTGATAATTGGAATTTGCAATTCTCATCCAAAAGAAATCTGTAGACTTCCCATTCACGGTCTGAAAATAAATACCTTCCAATTTCAGCCTGAAAACAAAAACATATAGAGAAAGACAATGTTATAAATGATTCATAAAATAATTTTGTTGATTCCAAGTAAATTACCGGACCATCAGCTTGTAAAAGCAATTAATCTTTCCCCCTTTAGAGTGGTTAAATTAAAAGTTCATGGAAAGTGGGTGTGAGAAGGATTTTTAATGGTATCTGTATTGCTTGATTTGGAGGAGACAAAAATTCTATATGCAATCTAGCATGCATTGCATTATTGTCCTCCAAATGTCTTGGATCAAAACAAATGTGCACAAGATACAATCTAATGAGGAGCTTTTGAATCACTTTCCTTTCAAATGCAATGATTTCTTACCGAGAACACACAGATCCCGAGAGCTTTTAGAGCTAGTGTGACGTCATAGAAAACCCGTGGTCTTCCCTTCCCAGATAATTCAACTGGATTTGCAACAAGAAGCTCAGTATCTGGCCCTCGGTTTGCAATGATGACCCGCAGAGGATGAAGCATTTCTACCTTCAAGCGAGAACATAATGCACTTTGCTTCTCAGGATCTACTATCTTTTTTCCATCTTTTTGCTGAATAAAGATGTCTAAATCACGATAGCCATCACGATTTGGTGAGAATCGGCCATAAGCTATCTGGGAAAGAAAGAACAAACAAACAGCATATATAAACAAATAGGAAAAACCATTTTATCTAGTGTTTGTGGAGATGATATACAAAATGATGAAGCATGTGATTTCAGAGGCCTGGATTCGTTCACCATACAATTTGCTAGAGCAAATAATCGCACACTAAGAAACTAACATTCATTTGGGTTAAAAAGTCCTAATAGTTATCAGCCTTTTTATTCTTCCTTATTTGGTGTTTCCAAACAACAACACAAGCAGCAGTAGATGCAGTCCACTATCACATTAAAACAAGCCAATGGAAACATTAAGAGTTGGCTGTCAGAAACCATACAGCATAACTGCATAACTACAGTTCAACAGCTGTCCAACAATTTCTGGTTAAGGACAGAAGAGATGTAGAACAATAAGCTAAAATGCTAATAGATGCATCTTAAACCTTCAGATTAGTAAACAGCTTAGGCAAGGCAATCTATTTTTAGTTCCCTTTGTCCAGACAGAACCATGTATAATGGTGAAATAAAACTCCAAATAAATTGCCTTCAGCAAATTCATGCCATTATGCAAATGATTTTTGAGCTGCTTATCAAACCACACCACAAACTAATAAAAAAACTAAAAAGAAGGGAAACCACTTCCTCCATTAGGTAAACTGGCAAACCAAATGGGTACATCAGATGAGAGTAATCCAAACCAAGAACTAATAATTTGAGAAACTAATAGAACATTAAAATGTCATAGGATAATTTTATGGGATAAAGGAATTCATACCTTAATATTGTGATCTTTCAAAGTTCTCAGCACATCATAAAATAGACCCTTGTGATCCACGCAATTTATCTGAAGCAGTGTATGGGCTGGGCTTAATGAATTGTCTACGGTTACATTGGCTTTCTTCAATTTCGACATATCTGGGCTAAGAGCTTGTGAACGAATTTTGTTACCCGAAAGCTCTGACTGAAACAGTTCTTCAGTAACAGCAGGAGAAAGAGAAGAGAAACACTGGTGACAACTATATTCAGGACCTGCCAACTTTAGTTCACAATTGATACAAGATTCACCCAACACAGCATTTAATTGGTTATATGTGTCTTCCTGTCGTTCTTTTGTGTGTAAAAGCTCCCTGTAGAAATGTTGTGACAAAATTGGGATCAATACTCAGCCTAGTTTATAATTGACTCTTCAACTTCTCAATTATATTAACTATTTTTTGTTTTTTTGATCGGCAACAATTACATTAACTATTAGTAAATCATATGATTGTTTAGGAAAATTGGCAGAGCAAATCTCAGACATTATGCAGCACCAATCAGTCTCAAAGAAGAATCATAATCATACATACAAATATATTCAATTTTGGATGAAGAGACGTGCATGGTGAAGAATAAGACTATGGCCATGAGATCAAACAGATGATGGTAGCAAGTAACTTTAGTTTTCCATAAAAGAAAGCTCAATGAAAGCTCAATGACCAATAATTGAAAAGCATAAAGACAAACATCAAGAAAAATGAACAAAACCAAGATAACATGGATCAAATAGCAACAGTTGATACATTTTGTATTTACTATTTATCTTGGATGAAAGACATCTAATAATCTAATCAGTTCCAATTGCAGTTTCTTTAGTGCGGTCCAACCTGAGCAACCACTGTGACACAGGATAGGATGATGCAGTCTCCAGCACACAGTAAATCCCAAAACATAAAACCCACAAGCAATAAGAAAAAAAGTAAGTTTAATAACAGAGTCCTCACATGTTATCTGTTATAAAGAAAAGGTCCAGAACTCTTCCATCAGGGGTGGTGGTCACTTTCACCCTTTGAATTGTAAGCTCAAGCTCACACAGAACCTGTGTAACATCTAAAGAAAATCCCCCAACTGTATCAGAACAGCAAACCCACAAACTCATCAATGAAAATAAATAAATAAACACCAAAAGCAAAGGGGATAAGGATTAGTACTACCGTGTAACAATCCTTTTCTGTCAAGGCAAAAGAACTTCAACAAGTATACTGGAGAAGAGCTGGCGCGTGTAGGCTGTGTGTTCAAGTAAAACGAAGTTGAACAAGAGGGACATACGGATTGAAGGCGGTTCTTCAAGCTTGGCCATCTCATAAAAGGTGAGCTCAAATGGGGAACTACCCAGAACACGATGTAGCACCATATCCCATCGGTTGAAACATCTACAACCACAATTTTTCAAAAAAAAAAAAAGGAAAAATCTGTCAAAGGAATCAGCCATGGAATTGCAATGAAAAGCAAAATGAACCAGAAAGCCGAGCATTGGATAAACTTGTGCTGAGTTGACATACCTCCTTTGGTGATGTAAAGACCGAAATCGAGAATTATTCGACAAATATCGCATCCAAGACCGGTTTTATCGGGACAGTTGACTGTGATGACGTGAGGATCTCC